GAAAAAAAATATCTCTCAGTTTCTTGGAGATGTGCTGCAAAACAACTGTTGCAAAACTGTAGTTTTAAAGACTATTTTACATATGATGCAAGTATCCCTTGTGTCCCATAGATTATTCCTTTTTTCTCTCATGTTGGCTAAATTCTTCACTGTGCTGTTTGCTGGTCAATAAGAAATGACATTTGTAGAATTCTCTAATTGCAATGTGGCTCAAGAGGCCTTTGTGGCCAAGAAGGGAATAGTGTTTTACTGTTTAGTGCTTATCTGACCGAGCCTTCATTTAGCTCAATTGTTTGGCTTCCCTCAGGGGCATATGGTAAGGTCAGCACTGAGTCTGTGTGCGCGGTCTGCCAGCATCGCCCCCATATGAATCCTGCACATACTTCGGCTTGTTTAGCTTGTATTGTATTGCTTGAATATAAGACAAATTATAATTACAACCCTATTTTCTAGACACTGGAAAACATAAGGGACTTTTTCACCGGTCTGCCTTGGACACACACATACACACTCCCACCAGACACACACACACACACACACACACACATGACCCTCAAAAACCTATACTCTCTGGATTTTGGCTTCACTCATCATGTGTTTTTTGCGGTGGCTTCTGCTCGTCTCTGCACAGTTTGGATGGTGTTATCATGTGTTTTATTGGTGCCACTCGAGTCTGTGATTTTTTTCTAACAACAACTTTGAAGCAATGATATAGACTCAGTCACCTCACATCGTGCATGTTTGTCACTGACTGTGGTTAAACAGTTTTGCACATTCACTTGTTGAAGTTGATTACATATTGTATGTAAAAACCTTTTTTTTATCATATATGTAGGTCCAGTATGGGGTGGTTGGGATGTGGGATTGTTTTTAAGGAAACAAAACAAAACATACAAATTCACATCCAGTCAGAGTCATCCAGCCAACTTCAGCTCTGCCAACCTAGGCATGTTATAACTTGATGGAAAACTCAGGATATTTGGAATCCAGTCGTTAACTGTGTTGTTTTTAATTGTGTGGCACTAATGTAGCTGCGGAGTAAACATTTGTCATTCAGCCAACTTCAGTTCCATCAAATGTGAACCGATATGGACATGAGGGTGAACTTAAGTGGACCTCTTACTAAAATGTTTGGACACCCCTGTGTTAAAGTTAGGACTAGGGTTAGGTTTAGGTTTAGGGTTAAGAATAGGGTAAAGTTTATGAGTCCAGGATCAACTTGTTACACTGATATATACACAGCACTATTGATCTTTGGTCTTAAAGGAGACTTATTACAAGATAGACATAGACACATAATCTGTAAAATGGATAATTTGGCAGGGTCGTACTAGTGTTTTGGCTTCAATGTTTGCTATGCGTGGTTCATGGCAGTTGATGATGTTGTATGTTGCCATATTGAGATGAAAATTTATAGATATTAAGAATATTATAGTTAATTCTAAATCTAATCTTCTCAAATGTTTAATCTGTGGGACCAACTTTGAAAATCCTATTTATACTGCAGTGAAAAGTACACTGAGCAGAGTGTCTGTGAATGCAGCATGATTCAGAAATTACAGCAGATTGCACTATGCGACTTTTGCACTTCAGAATTGAGAAAGAGAGGTGCTTGAAGTTACCTCGGGTTGAACAGCAAAGAAGTCATAGAGCAAGTTTTGACGCACTCTATGTGGCTCAGTAGTGGAGGTCCTTTGCTTCCTTTGTACTATAATAAGCTCATATTTCTCGTTGCAATTGCCCATTTCAACAGTATCCACTCCAAACAAGAGATCTTTCTTTCCCATTCATTCTTGTTGATGAAAGAACTAAAGGAACATTCTGTAGCATTAAAGGTCCATTGTGCTCGTGCACAGTTCAGTGCTCTGTGAAGTCACAAAGGTCAGGAATTGTGTGACACAGTTTGATCTCTAGAGTCTTTTTTAGCAGGTGTTTTACAAACAAGTGCAAGAAAACCTGGTTTATGGGAAGTGAACAATTCAAGGGAAATAAGGCGCCACCATAATTGTGTCCAATAGGGATAAGATAAGATAAGATAAGATAAGAGAGCCTTTATTCGTCCCACAGTCGGGACATTTCAATGTTGTGCAGGACAGTAGTAAGAGCACACAGGGAGCACACAAAATATCTTATCTAGCTGTAAACGCTTCAATATCAATCTCTTGGTCTGCATTGATGATAACTGTTACGGACCAGGTCCTTGTTTTTGTTTCTCCTTGCCTCCGCCTCCTCAGACCTCCCTCCCATTGACGTCTCACTATGCACCTGTGGGCTAATCACCTGGGAGGCATAAAAAGAGCCTGGCTCCAGACCAGTCTCTCTCTTCCACTTGGGCCTGGATCCTGCGGCTGCACACCCGTGTGACCTTTTTGTGCATTTATTTATATGTAAATAAACCTTGTTACTTTTTAGACCCCGTTTCCTGTCTATGTTCCACCCCCCGGTTCTTTTTGTGTTACTGAGTCACACTCTCTAGACTTCAACACCCAGTGGCTCGTAATAATAACATTAATATTGTTGTTTTTTAAATAACGTTTTATACTACATTTCTATTTTGTGTTGTATTTATCATCTTCTGTTTATGTCTGCTAGTCAAAGTAACCAAATACAAATCCTTTTCTCCCATTTCACTATGTGTCCAAATAGAAACTAATTTGGTGCCTCACATCAGCACAAAGCACAAATCCAAAGTGCACCAGAGTCCAGGGTGGGTACGTATACCCACCCTATATTAAATATAAATAATTATTGACACGCAAAGTCTCATGGTGCTGTCTCACGACGGTAACATTTCCATTCACTGATCACCACAGGAAAAGTTCTGGAACATTCTGATAAGAATTCTCATTTTGCGAGCTAGTGCACTTTGTGTTGACTAATAGCTAATGGAGTAAATAATTATAAAGCTATAGCCTGTGATAAATCTTATCCCAAACACACACAGGTAATTACACACAGCTGCTCAGCTGTACGAGGACTTCTGTGTTTGAGGCAGAGTGTGTTCGATCTGGAAATGTGTCAGTGTTTTTTTAGAAGAATTTGCCTGTATACTGAATTATATTATTTTCTTAAATGATGTATCTATAATTGTGCTGCCATTAATCGCTGATTATGTTGACTACTGTGTTGATTATGATGTAAAAACCTGGAAAAAGTATGTGAATCCACACTGGCATGTTACAGTACTACTCATGTGAAAAGTGTTAAAAATATGAATGACAAAAAACACATTTGTATGTAATTCCCAAGTAACAAACTTGTTTTAAATAAGAAAGATTAGATAGAAACTAAAGTTGGAAAGCAGTTTATCAGAACCATTGATTGCTGTGTATAAGCCAATCACAGAGGATAATACAAAATGGATTGAGGCAGTGAGGTGAGAAAGCACATCTACATGCAAGTGATCTGTGCCAGAGCCCACAACGAGGAACTCATGAAAGCACTGTTTTTACGCCTGCTTCTGTCGTCAATGCACCAGGATCTTAAGAGTTATGTAGTTTGTTTATTATTAAAGTTGATTAAGCGCACTCATTTTACTAAGCTCTCATACATCTTGATACCAACATCTCATTCAGCCACAACTGCCCATATCCTTAATCACCTGTGACACTTTTCTATTGTTTTATATACTTAAATGTGGCATCAAATCCAACATATTTATCTTTCCTGATTTTATATTGATATTTTACTTGTTTTTCATATATGTTTTTATTTTTTCTGCGTTGGTTGTTGAAAATGTGATGAGAAAAGTTCACTACTATATTATATTTATATTTCTAAAAATCCAGGCAGAGGCATGACTTTCATAAAAAAAAGAGGGAAAACTATTTGTAATACAGATGGTTATCTTGAAGCTGGATGTGTAGTATGAACAGGTATTTAGAGATGGCTGAGAGAAAGAAAGCCACGTGTTAAATGATCACATATTGATTCTTACTGTATTATCTGAGTATAGAAGATGGCATGGCAGCTATTGAACCCCATTCCACTCCACTTAATCTGATCCTGAGAAGATAAATCAATTTATTGTTGCCGAAGGAACCTTCAACTCTACATGCTCCAACAAATGCCTCCATCAACCTCTTCCACCTCCACTCACTTTCCCATGATTCATCGTGCTATTTTCATATAGGGCAAATGTAATAACAACCTATATGCCCTCTTTAACAGGGGTTGGGAGTGGAGATAGAGTTTTGATGTAATGTGTCATTTTCCTCGTTCTATCCGAGTGAAAGCTCCATGGTTCCCTGAAAATACCATGTCCCTTCCACAATGAGCAAATGTTATTTTTGCCAACATTAGTATCATTAGACTCAACATGAACAAAGGTATAGTACTAATGCAGAAGAGAATAAATGCTCGAAAAGAGAAACTGAGGGTGGTTTTTTAAAAGTTGGAGATTGTGTCTTTGCTGTGTTTTTCTTCAGGAGGATCATGCAAGACTCCAAGCAGTGTGTGTGTCATTGTTTTGCTGACGTCTTAAAACTCAGTCTGTAAAGGCCTTGTATTTGAACCTCCCGCTGTCCTGAACATATTTGATGAATAACAGCAGATTTTTACACAATCTGTTCCCTCGTCGCACACGGACAACGGGGAATAGGGTCTATCCACACCAAAAACAGTTGGCCTGTTCAGCACAACCGTTGATTGGATTGTTCCCAAAGTCGGCATTAAACGGTGACAGCGCAAGAAAGTTACATTCCATTCAATTAAATTGTCAAAAGTAAAAGTTTAAATAGTGAGTGCGTATACCTGTAGCAGCTCGTTTACTGGCTTCACGCACATCAACAACAAGTCTGAAAGTGACGTCATGGATCCTGATGACATGATGACAGGGATCCTGATGACATGGATCCTGATGACATGATGACAGGGATCCTGATGACATGGATCCTGATGACATGATGACAGGGATCCTGATGACATGGATCCTGATGACATGATGACAGGGATCCTGATGACATGGATCCTGATGACATGATGACAGGGATCCTGATGACATGGATCCTGATGACAGGGATCCTGATGACAGGGATCCTGATGACAGGGATCCTGATGACATGGATCCTGATGACATGGATCCTGATGACAGGGATCCTGATGACATGGATCCTGATGACATGGATCCTGATGACAGGGATCCTGATGACAGGGATCCTGATGACATGGATCCTGATGACAGGGATCCTGATGACAGGGATCCTGATGACATGGATCCTGATGACATGGATCCTGATGACATGATGACAGGGATCCTGATGACATGGATCCTGATGACAGGGATCCTGATGACATGGATCCTGATGACAGGGATCCTGATGACAGGGATCCTGATGACAGGGATCCTGATGACAGGGATCCTGATGACAGGGATCCTGATGCAGGAGTAGATCAAGGGCAGTGGTGGTCATTTAACTGTGATAAAGCAGCACAAGGGATGTTGGGAACCCAGGACTGATGCGTGTGCAGGGTTATGAGGGGTTTTATTGCCGCTTGCAGATTTAATAATTTATAACTCTATTCACAAACCTTATCATGAGATATTTGTTTGTCATTTGTTCAAACAAAATAATCTATTCCCCCATAAAAAATGCTGATACATGCAACGCAATGCTGATTTCAATATCTGCAGTTAAAGTCAAAATGGTTGATTATAACTTGAAAATCACTACATTCTTGTCATAATCTCTCCTGTTTGGAGCCATATCCATTTGCAAAAACAAAGAACCCATTGAGAATAGTGAGAAACACAATGCAATAGGTCATGTATTACACTTTCATTATAGACGAGAGAACGGCTTGATCAGACATGAAACTGAATGTGTGAGTGAAGAATTTCTGCATATTCTAACGCCTTTGGAGTTTGGGAATTCCATCAAAGTACAAAAAGAACCCACTAAGTCTGGATTTCACTGGATCAGACAAGAAAAGATGAAAGTACAGGGTTAGTTATGTGACTTCGAACCAGTCTTGAGAAATGTAAATGAGTTTTGGAGCGTTTATTTTAAAGCTTTAGTTAAAATGTTCGATCTACATTGTCAGGTGGCTGTGAAAGAAACATGTGTGTGTTCATCCTGCAACACAATCATACTGATAGATTGTGGGGAGCTTGCAAAGAAAGTAGAGCAGACTAACGGTTGATACAATAAGTTGACTTAAACGAGAATGCTTTAGGAATCACTTTGCTGTCGATCTGCCAGGACCCCAGGGACCAGCTGGTGCCAATGAACATGAGCTGTAGGGAGGAGATGCTTTGATGAGTCCTCTATGGCACTGACATTGGGCATTGGGGTCCTGGCAAATGACTATTCAGTAATAATTGTGCCTGGATTTGCATGCATTTATTTAACAATTTATCAATGAGCAATGAAAAAAATACTGAGAAAATATCAATTATTTACTATTTATTGATAAATACAGACATTTATCATACAGACAGAATTATCTGTCTTAATAATGGACATACTGTAAACTTTATTGGAGTAAAATTGTCATATTAAGGTGTTTTAAGAACTTAGTTGGTGTGACAATCAGTGTAGCAGGAAAAAAGTGACAAAAAAATTAAAAAGGAAAAAAGTTACTTATTGTGAGACAAGGGCAGAAGCTTAGCTCATGACTACACTCCGGGAAAGTGTATTTAACATAAGCAAAGGAAGGTTTCTCACCCATCATCTGTACTTCTTAGCAAGTTTTCCCGACGTTTCGTCCTCAACCTGGGGACTTCTTCAGGGAAACTCATTCCCTGAAGAAGTCCCCAGGTTGAGGACGAAACGTCGGGAAAACTTGCTAAGAAGTACAGATGATGGGTGAGAAACCTTCCTTTGCTTTGACTAATCCCTGTACGACTGAGGGCTTACACAAACTGTATTTAACATACACTGTCCCAACCAAAGAAACAATAAAATGTACTCGCAACTTTGTTCAATTGTCATCATTCTGTAAGCCATGGATGGATAGAGTAAATGTTCTATTGATATTAACCATTCGAGTTGATGAGAATAACATTTGTAGCATGCTGAAAACAGTAAACAGAAAATGCCACTTTGTTTAGCTGAAAAGGAGCAAACATCAAGACAAACATGAGCATCACACAAAGCAGAATGTGTGGGCTCCACATCATGGTTATTCTCAGCCATAAAAAATACAGCTTTATCGTCATTGTTAGGATGTTTTTGCATTGCTCGGCTAATCCAACCGGCTTATCAAAGTAAGATGGAAGCGAAGACCAAGCCACAACACATACTGACAGTAATCGGATTGCATTGTATCCTCCATGATCACAAAAACAAAAGATTATATTATATTTAAATCATGGGCTGTGAAATAATAAACACAACTTTCCCAACAACACAAAACACTTAATTAAAAAGGATTTATTGCCACAACGTTGTTTAATCAGATTTATTGTTGCGTCTGAATTGTGAAACAATCAAGTTGACAGTAAGTAGAGGTAAACTTTAATGCATCCATAGTATCAAGTATAGTATCGTTGTCCCATTGTCTGTTTCATGGTACGATGACGGGATCTCTGAGCCTGGCCTCCTCTATCTGCACCTGCGGACTGCCCCGCCCGACCCGCCTGGGAGTGCTTCAGTCCTGCACCGGACCTGTCCACGTTCAGCGGCCACTGGTCCACGTTCTGTAGCTAGCTTAGGTCCTGGATCATTAGCCTGTCCATCCGGAGGAGCGGATCCCTTTCTCATATGGGTCTCCCTCCCTGTGGGTTTCCCTAGTTCTCCCCAAGGTTTCTCACTTTTTCCCACTGGGTTTTTTAAGAGTTTTTCCTTGTCGATGCAGGAGATGATCAGGACACTTTAGCATTCTACAACATGTATGGACATTTTCTTCTGTGTGTGCTTTATATTCTCCATGTGTTTTGGCTGTTGATTCTCTGACCTGTGTTGGTGATTTCAATGGTTTTGTTAAGTCCTCTGAGATGACTTCTGTTGTGACCTAGGGCTATACAAGAATAAATTGTATTGTATTGTATTGTATTGAAGTAAAATTAGACACTTTATCCCAGAGAGGTCCAAACCTTTCTTTGCGAAGGCCACTTCAGAGAACCAGGCTTGTCCAGGAGCAGATAATCCAGATTTAAAAACTGTTTTGACAGTTTGGCCTGTTATTAGCTTTAAAATGGAGTATGATGTGTCCATATAGATTCATAATTGACAGAACTGAAGTCTACTATTGTTTACTATCTGAGCTTTACTATGTTGTATACCATGTGTAAATCGGCTGAGCTGCAGTTGGCTGAATGACATAGTTAACTGGTGTTTGAGACACATTTAGCCCGCGAGCCTTTGGTTGGACATGACTGTTAACTCATATAATGTTGAGGCCATTTCAAACAGCTGCCTTTGTTAAAGTAGAAAGGCGATATACAGCCATCCACCGTACACTATACACAACGATATGTTGGTGTCTCCAAAATGACCGAACAAGTGACCAGAATATTTATAAAGGAAGCCATCTTAATGTACACCCAGCAAAACTAAAATGGTCTTGGCTCAAATTACTATGTGTGACACAATTCAGAGACAACTTAGCTTAACTCTTGCGTGTAGCAGAGTAAGAGTAGCTGACACTTCACTTTTGGAATACTCTCTGTCTGTGTAGTGTTGGATAAAAGCATTTTCATGAACAAAAATGGCCTGTGCTCTGCTGACAGTGAATCTAGTGTTTTCACAGAGCTCGGACTCTTTAGGTGTTTTTTTTAGTCTTGGTGATGATGAACTTCTTGAAATCCATCAGTTTTCTATGAATCCAAACTTTTGTGCATCAAACTCGCCTCACTCTAATGACGCAAAGGATCAAAAGGTCATTTCGCTTAGGTCAGTGGTTCCTACAGTAAAGGGAGATGAAGCGTGAGATCGATTGACAGAGGAGCAGCGTCTGCAGTCAGAGCTGTATCAGACTGTTGTGTGGAAGAGCTCTCATTTTACCAATCAATCTACTTCCCCACAATCATCTATGGTCATGAGCTTTGGTTATTGCCCAAAAGGATGAGATCATGGATACAAGCGGTTGAATGAAATGAATGGATGCTCCCTAAGAGATAGGGTAAGGAGTTCAGTCACATTCTGGTTCATTCAGTTCAGGAGCTCAGAGTAGAGCTGCTGCTTCTCCATATTAAGGAGAGCAAGTTGAGGTGGCTCGGTCATCAGGCCTGGGACTGCCTCGAGATTCCGGATAAGCTGGAGGAACTGTGCGTGTGGATAGGAAAGTCGGTCAGACTGCTGGGGGGGGCTGGATAGATGCACCATGTTGGATTTTATAAAAGGAAAAAAAACTAATTTCCAGTGTTTTCTGATGAAAACTTTCAAACCCTCCCTTATCCCAGGAAATTGCATTGTATCTAAAACTGCTAATCCTATTCAAATCACTGTGTCATCAATTTGTTTCAATTCTCCAATCTTTCTCTGCTACACACATGTGCATTGTTGTAAGAGTGTTCTGGGTAATTTTAATCTTCCATCGTCATCACTTGAATCCTACAATTATAAAACATTCAGTGTAACATGGTGCCTCATAAATGACTTCCTGTTCATCTCTAGTCTCCGACTGATTACTTACCTGGGAGAAAATCTAATTGACTCATCACATTGGCAAACAGTGAGAGCGTCTGGCTCTGACTGTCGATGCTGACAGATAATTGGAGGAATATAGTGCTGCACTGTGCTGGCTCTTTGGGGATTTGGGATTTTTAAAGAGGATGTGGTATCTGTCTGTTCAGACCACTGATTAGAATCAAATACAGGCAGTAATTACAGAGCAGAGCACCGCTGGCCAAGGCTAAGCACCTGGAAAGTGGAGTCATTTGTAAGACTTTTTCACTTCGCTTGTTGAGAGTTGTTTTCTGTTGTTGTGGTTTTGATGGTACTGTAATTCTCCATCAGTATATGGATTAAGGTTAAATTATAATTGTTTATTAAAAGTTTCACCTCCACACTGTCAAATAAGGCCATCCTCTATGAGTCAGGCCTACTCAATATGACATGGAAATTTCCATTTGGAGTTTTGTGTTTATTTTTACAGCTAGATTAGGTTGAAGAATCCATTTTCTAACACATAATCAAGACTTTTTTATCGCCTGTAATCACCCGCTACAATTAGGCCTGTCACAATAATTGCTGTATATTGATAATTGATGGATGATGCAATATACTTTGCATATAGAGTATAAGTCAAGAATTTTTTTTAGGAACAGACAAACTTTGCTTTATTCCACTGTTTATTTGTGACAGCTCAGGCCTGTTTATAAATAAAACTAAATCTATGTAAATATTAATGTTGATCATCATAAATCTGTGTAGCAATATTGTCCCCCTACCTACAATATTGTCCCCCTACCTACCAATACATGGCCACACATCGATTATTAGGCTGCATATCTGTCACTTGTTGCTTGACCAAGTCATTGCGTTTCCTTCTCTCCGTCAGCTCGCATCAAAGTGGCAGTGTGGACGTTCTGAGTAGTGGACTCACAGCTGCTCTGGCCCTGACCTCACAGTGGAGCTTTGTGGGGTCTTTGTGGTCCGCGGGACACAACCTCCTAGAGGCGCTGTGCCCTTTATGCCGACCCTGCTGACAGAACCACTGCACAGAAGAAGAACATGTGACAGAGTGCTGCAGCGTGGAGAGACAAAAGAGCACAGGCAGTAGACTGGTGCAGTCCCAGAGGCCGACACACACCAGTCACCTTCATGTCAGTCTAGTCAGGACCAGTAAGGGAGCCCCACCAACAGCTCTCCATAGAGCCGCCAGCGCACACCAACTCTGAAAATGATGCGTTTGGATTGTCGTGCTGTCTGAAGCTGGAACCCACAAAGTCGCTTACACATCCCAGATATCTGTGAGAGTTATAGGCTGACAGTCTGCAGGGTGATAGGGAGATGCCCCCATTCTTTCAAAGTGGAGGTGATAAAGAAGTCTGGAGCAACAGTTTCAATGCATACAGATGGTTTAGAAAAAATTCCAATGTAAGACTGAAAATTATTGTATCTATTCAACTGAATAAAACAGGCATCATTGTATCAATTAAAGTATTAATTAATTAATCTATCTGCCAGTTCTTTCACTCCTGCAGCTGTCAGACTGTACAACAAACAATCAGAATCAGAATCAGAATCAGAATCATTTTTATTGCCACGTAAGTAACAGGAAGTCACAGACTTGGAAATTGCTTTGGCTCAGTGCAACAGTCAGAAAGAGATAAAAAAAATTAAGAATAAAAAACACTTCTAAGGAATAAATTTAAATTTAAAATAGAGTTACAGTTACTATTTACAATATACAAGTGCACATGGTGCACACAATGTAAGGTGACAGCAGTACAGTGAAGTAAAGTGACGTATGATGGGCAGTAAAGTGACTTTATAAAGGGCAGTAAAGTGACTTTATAAAGGGCGGGGGGACAGGTTAAGAAGTGTTCAAGAGTCCAACAGCAGAGGGGAAGAAACTGTTCTTGTGGCGGGAGGTTCTAGTCCTGATGGACCGCAGCCTCCTGCCTGAGGGGAGTGGTTGGAATAGTCCATGTGCAGGGTGAGAGGGGTCGGCTGTGATACGACCAGCCCGGCCTCGAGCTCGGGCGACGTACAGGTCCTGCAGCGATGGAAGGCTGCGGCCGATCACTTCCTCTGCAGAGCGCACAATGCGCTGTAGTCTCTGCTTGTCCCTGACTGTGGCTCCAGCGAACCACACGGTGACGGAGGAGGTGAGGATGGACTCGATGATGGCCGTGTAGAACTGCACCAACATCTGTGCAGGCAGCTTGGCTTTCCTGAGCTGCCGCAGGAAGTACATCCTCTGCTGGGCCTTCTTGATGAGGGAGCTGATGGTTGGCTCCCACTTGAGGTCCTGGGTGATGGTGGTGCCCAGGAAACGGAAGGACTCCACAGAGGTGATGGGGGAGTCCATCACGGAGGGTGCGGGTGGGGGGACAGTGCTCTTCCTGAAGTCCACAATCATCTCCACTGTCTTCTGGGCGTTCAGCTCCAGGTTGTTACCACTGCACCAGGACACCAGCCGGTCCACCTCCCTCCTGTAGGCGGACTCATCGTTGTTGGAGATGAGTCCAATGAGGGTGGTGTCGTCCGCGAACTTGATCAGCTTCACGGAGTCGTGGCTGGAGGTGCAGTGGTTGGTGTACAGGGAGAAGAGCAGGGGAGAAAGAACACAGCCCCGTGGGGCTCCTGTATTTATAATCCGAGAGTCCGAGACATTCTTCCCCAGACGCACTCGCTGCTTCCTGTCCGTCAGGAAGTCAGTGATCCACCTGCAGGTGGAATCGGGCACGTTGAGCTGGGAGAGCTTGTCCTGGAGCAGGGATGGCAGGATTGTGTTGAAGGCAGAGCTGAGGTCCACGAACAGGACCCTGGCGTAGGTCCCCGGGGAGTCCAGGTGCTGTAGGATGTGGTGGAGGGCCAGGTTGATGGCGTCGTCTACAGATCTGTTGGCTCTGTAGGCGAACTGCAGGGGGTCCAGGAGGGGGGAGGTGAGGGACTTGAGATGGGAGAGAACCAGGCGTTCAAATGACTTCATGACGACAGACGTAAGTGCGCAATGAAGACTAATGAACACAGCTGACTTGACCTCACATGTCAGGCATCTGTGCAATGATTTTAAATGATGTTAGAATATGCACTAATGCACCACATGTGTCCACTGTACTTTACTTTTATCCCAGAACCTCATGCTGCCAATTTTTAAAGTAGTATCACATGCTGCTAACATGTACAGTAGTATCACATGCTAACATGTACAGTAGTATCACATGCTAACATGTACAGTAGTATTACATGCTGCTAACATGTACAGTAGCATCACTTGCTAACATGTACAGTAGCATCACTTGCTAACATGTACAGTAGTATTACATGCTGCTAACATGTACAGTAGCATCACTTGCTAACATGTACAGTAGTATTACATGCTGCTAACATGTACAGTAGCATCACTTGCTAACATGTACAGTAGTATTACATGCTGCTAACATGCACAGTAGCATCACTTGCTAACATGTACAGTAGTATTACATGCTGCTAACATGCACAGTAGCATCACTTGCTAACATGTACAGTAGTATCACATGCTAACATGTAGAGTAGTATCACATGCTGCTAACATGTACAGTAGCATCACTTGCTAACATGTACAGTAGTATCACATGCTAACATGTACAGTAGTATCACATGCTGCTAACATGTACAGTAGTATCACATGCTGCTAGCATGTACAGTATCATCACTGTGAACAATTGAACCCTCAGATGACCTACCACCGGTGGGGGCGGGTCCCGGCTCAAAAGTGGCCAAAATGATGTGCGCTGACATGCTTGCAATACCACCCCGGGCCGATGGGGGTGGCCCCGGAATAAGAATTAGCCAATGCTAACATATAGCATTGGCAGACCTCTTGAAAACGTCTTTACTGGATGGTCCAAAAGTTGGCTCTTGGCCCAAAGCTCCGTTCCACATGTGTGTCAATGCTGAGGGGAGAGAATTTTTTTGGACAACTAGTTTACTCGCTGTGAATTTTTGAAGTCTCTCGTTCAAATGAATGGAGCTGCTCCGGCTGATCCTGGACTACCTCACAGGTCCACCACAGTCTGGAGGCTCCTCAGTGGACCATCTTTATGTTCCTCTTTAGTTCCTCCTAAAGCGTTACCGTCTACACAGCAGACTTCAGACATGTCCTCCAGAAGTTAATCTTCAACTTATCATCAGATCTGGGTATTTCTAAACATTTGTTACTTACTTGTTTGAGTGACATTTCCTCATGAGATGAATAACACTCTTATTTTATTTTGATTGCCTGATGGTAGAACAGCAGAGAAGCCCCATAGAGCCTGGTCTTCTTCAGTGTGAGGAGGAGGGTGATTGTTGAACCAGTGTGACAGGATAGTGTGCCATGTTGGAGCCAACTTGTGCTCACTCAATTTAGTCCATTTGAACATCTTTCAATCAGCAGAGTCTAAAGCGGGCTGGAAAGGGCAGGTTTGTTGGTAGCCACGACAAAAAAATGCTGTACCGATGAGCTGGGTTAGCTGGGCCACCGTGCGTCTCTTCAGAGGCTAGCGCTTGTGCCTCACAGCAAGAAGGACCTGGGTTTGATTTCTCCTCCAGAGCCTTCTGTGTGGAGTTTGCATGTTCTCCCTATGTCCTAACAGCAGGTCTAGCATGCGCCTCCTGTATGGCAACACCACTCCCATCTCTGTGTGGAGTTAGAGACACATGCCCACAACTCTGGTCTGTGAAAGGCGCTATATAAATAAAAGTTACTTACTTACAACTCACAAGTTTGTGTTTAAGAAATGTTTGTTCAAAGGTTGGTGTCTCCCACAGGTCGTGACAGTTTGCTCCAGCAGGATCCGAGTGGGAGGTGAAGCTCACAGAAACACAAGCTGCCGTTACTGAAATTCCACCATGTCTGCTTTGCATCACCAACAGAATCACACATAAACAAAGATAAAATGTGTCTTATGATTGATGTTTCTTTGTATTATACCATGATAGATTTTATATGAGGGATAAAAGGATGTACATGTATTTCTTTATGTTACTATTTCTACTGCTGCTTGCATTATTATCCTTTTTCCACGCCTTGTGTCTCGGTTTGCGTCTTGTCCCACTCCTGGTCCCAGCGCTTCTGTGATGGAGGTGTCTCATTATAGTGGTCCTCTCTTCTTTCACACCTAAAGCACATCACCGTGACTGCAGCTCACTGTTCCTCATTGGAGATGCTGTAAGGGGCACACTGACCCCAGCTATAAGCCTCCATCCTCCATCCCACAGGATGGACTAATGGCTCTATCCTGCATTACACCCTTCAAAGACTGACGGTGAAAGCAATTAACAGATTAGAAATAGGAGTTAGTTTGAGTGACACTTGGGGAATGCTGTAGTGCTACACATTTTCTTTACATTTACTTTATAATGCTGAAAACTCACTACAAAAAAATTTTGTTTTTGACAGCTTTTGCTGAAAATGTAAAAATCATTTTGATGTAATTTTCATAGTGAGGGATTTTATTATATACAATATATGAATATATGCATCTGGCTTGATGTTTGTACAGTTTATATTTGTATATTCAAAGAGCCTCTGAAGAAAAAGCAACACTTCTTCAGTAAGATATAAATTCCTACACAGGTGATAATTGAAACTCATCTTTCTCTTGTTATCTCATTACAGCTGCACAATGTTGTCCCTGTAATGGCGGCTCTTTCCATTATGCACACAGTTCAGCACACCCACTCTATAGCTAAACAGATAACTAAAGCCGCCTTCTTTATTCTCTCACTCCCTGGATAAAGTGCTGCAATGCTGCCTTGTAAAGCCAAGTATAAGACTTAAAGCCAGGGTCTCCAATTTAAACCTAATTGTCTATTAAATCACTGTATGGACTGAATACTTCACCCCTGTTTGCAATGCAATAACAATATGCTATATCAACATAGAGACAAGGACATACAAAGTTACATACTGCCTGCTATCATGCTTACAGACTAAGTTGTTTATTGAGGAGTATGACTTCAGATCAAATCTTCAGAGATATTTGGGGTGTTGAATATTCATGACCACATTTGTATGCATAGGCTTTGCACTGGGATGGTCAGGGGCAGGTCAGGGTGTGCTTGGACTGGAGAAAGGTGTCCCAGACTGTGGTCCCCTCACCTTGTTTAACAGCTGATCAAGTCAGGTGCTCTGATGACCCCACCAGGTGTCAGAGTCCTGGGAGATGTCTATGCCATGCACAGAGGGCTCACAGGGCATGTGTGGAGGTGAATACTAAGTCCTGAAGCTTTGCTGTGGACAATGAAAAGTGTCATAGTTTAATATTTTGCATTGTTCATGTTATATCACTATAAGAATAACTATGTTCATATCAAGGAAGTAAAATAACAGCATCCTCCTCACTCACAAGCAACATTTTAAGTAAGCAACTTTTTTGTTGAGATAAATGTAAAGAATGAAAATGGAAACATTCTGTTTAGAGGCCTCTACTTACTGTACCATTATTATGTACAGGCTGCTGTGTATTATTCATAGATTCACAGATGGTGTGTTACGATGATTAGGTACACAATCCAGCTGTTGGTGTTTGTGATAGAAGAAAGTACAAGATACATCTACACTCAAGACTCACAACAGGAAGACAGTTCCCAGGTTCTCAACTTGACACCACTCAAAATACAAGTGTAGTGATTTCAAAACAATGTTAAATAAAACTCAGAAACCACTGGGCGCATTGAGACAAGCACAAGGATGTCTACGGCTTTAATATTCACCAAGAGTTGTCGGGCTGTCGTTGCAACTAAAGAAATCCTGAGAACTGGGAGATTTGGCTCTGAATTCATAGACATCCAGTCAGAAACGGGAAAAAGGAAATAATGACAACACAAATATAGTGATTGGTGAAATGCCTGTGCGTGTGTCTTTGTGTGTGTGTGCGTGCATGTGTGTTTGTGTGTGTGCATGTAGGTGAGTGTGTGCTACTGTCTGGAGCAGCAGCTGGCGCGACCACCATGTCAATTATCACAAACAGATCAAAGGCAAACAAACATTGGACAACCTCCATCTGGCCTTGCCTAACAAGCTAGTTAAAAACATGTAAAAGGTGTGTATTCACAAGGTCTCTTACTGTACAAATACTACATTTCTAAAGTGCAAGTAAATCAAATTAAGCTTCTTGAATCCCATCAGCTGACAGCTTCAATCTTGGCATAAACTAACATCTATGCTGGACCATACCATGACTGTCCCCCCCTGCAGGACACTCTGTCAGCTCGGGAGAGTAGCTTCAGTGACAGACTTATTCACCCTTGCTGTGTGAAGGACAGGTTCCGTAGGTATTTCCTTCCTGCTGCTGTCAGACTGTTCAATGAGAACTTCTGAGCCTGTACATGTCATTCATCTGTAAATACTCAATACTGCCATCATGTGCAATGTGCAATACTGGAATTTCAGAATGTCCACTGAATGTCACTTTATCTACTTGTGTATAACTTTGCACTATATCTTCTAATAGACTACAAGTCTTTACAAGAAAAGTGACATTTCTGAGGAGAGGTCCTGGTCCTCTAAGACTGTTCTGGATCGAGAGCCATCCATTGTGGCTGGGTGTCAGATGCTGTGAGCGTGCTGAGCTGTGTCCACTGTATCTGTGTTACACAGATGTATAACAGCCCTGGAGCTGTGCACGGCCCCCATTATGGCCCAGCTGACACTTCCATGTATTTATGACTCTATTAAAGTGTGTACAAGGACAGGGCCAAGCGTGGACACAGTGATCCATGGCTGCTCTCCTGGCGCCTCTTCAACCGTTACCTCCACTCTCCCGGTCATCAGCACAGATTTATGGAGCACAGTGCTGATGGGAGCTGGATAAATGTATGACTAATAAAAGGACATTGATTAAGAGACTGGCACTTAGTCCCAGAATTCAATACCATCCATTGTCATAAGTCGACAGGGGTGAGTTTGGCAGCAATGTTTCATAATGTGGCAATCTAGAATTTTCTAGGGTAGATGTGGAGACAAGTAGAACCTCTGCAATATAGGAGAATGAAGTATTGTTACTCCTGGGAAATAGTTTTGTAAAATTGTAATCGAATAAATAGCCGGTGAAAAAAGCCCAAGTGAAAAAAAGGTCTCAAGACAGGATCAGTTTAAGGATTTAATATGGCATCAGACATGGTTTTTACACACTGCAACAAAGCAGAAACAAAATGCATATTAACAAAAATTAACAATGAAACTAAAAATGGGAATCAACTGAAACTCACATGACGCATGCTGATCCATAGCCTGGATTGAAATGAAAGGGGAAACAATGGGCTTCCAGGACTTAAAATGGCTGCCTAATTGCACCCAGGTGTGTAGGTGTGGGGGGGCGGAGCCAGCAGAGGGGTGTGGTTGAGGGATTTCTCACAGCCGCCCCCAAAACGGCAGTTTTGTTCCAGAATCCCTCAAACCTCGTCCTTGACTTCTGGGAGGGGTATGAGGCGGGAAACTGGTCGCAGGTAGGTCTGCTGCTTGACCTGGACTTTGGCGGACCGTACACGGCCATCAGCGCTTGGGAAAGTTTCTATCACCTTACCTACAGGCCAGGAAGATCGAGGTAGTTGAGGGTCGACTACTAGGACCACTTGATCGCATTGGAGATTCTCCTTGTCCACCTTCCACTTTGGTCTGGGCTGTAGATCGGGAAGGTGATAGCGAACAAATCCAGTCCAGAAGTGGTCTGCAAGAATCTGGCTGTGACGCCATCGCCGCTTACCAACAACTTGACTGCTGGCGTACACCGCTTGTGGTAAGGAGGAATCCCGCCGCCCCATCAACAATAAGTTTGGAGTCACAGGGTCTGGATCGGCGACATCAGTGGACACATAACCTAGGGGCTTGGAGTTGACTATTCCCTCTACCTCAATCAGAACGGTTCGCAGAACGGGCTGTGGTACTGATTGGTTGGCCAAGACAACTCGTAGAGCATCTTTAATTGATTTTATCTCCCTTTCCCATAGGCCGCCAAAGTGTGGTGCACTTGGAGGGTTGAAATGAAACATAATTTGCTGTTTCTCCAGTTTCTCTTGGAGCTCTGGGACCATGTCTTTGAATGCCCTCTTCAACTCTGCATACCCTCCACGGAAGTTGGTGCCACAGTCCGCGAAGACCTCATAAGGTTTTCCCCTTCTCGCCACAAAGCGACGTAGGGCCATAAGAAAGGCATCAGCATCCAGGCTTTCGAGGACATCCAAGTGGACACATCGGGTTGTCATACACTTGAAAACAATACCCCAACATTTCTCCGTTCTCCTTCCGACTTTGGTTAGAAAAGGGCCGAAGCAATCTATACCGGTAGACCAGAAGGCCGGTTGGAAAAGCCTGAGTCGGGCAGGAGGTAGGTCCGCCATTTTCGGCATTTCGGGAGAGGCACGCCACTTCTGACATTGCTGACACAGTCGTTGATGTTGACGGACTGCCGAGCGACCCTTGATTATCCAGTATTTACGCCGCAGTTCGGCAAAGAGCCGCTCAGATCCTGGATGTAAGAGCTCCTCATCGTATTTCTGGATCAGAAGTTTTGTGAGGTGGTGGTTTGAGTCCAAAACCACAGGATGTATGACATCTGGGTCCAGGTTAGTAGCCCTTCTCAGCCGCCCTCCAACACGGATGAGTTTCAAAACTGGATCGAATTCGGGGAAAAGGAACACAGCCTACTTGACGGTAACACAGATTTGCCAGATTGCAGAGCCGTGAATTCGGCTGGAAAGCTTTCCTGCTGTGCTCGTTTCAGGAGAAGGATTTCTGCTTCGATGGCTGGATTGGAGACTGAAGTGCTGTCCAACACCTGGACCGCAGCTGCAATGGCCTCAGTCCACGTAGTGCAGGTGGAAATGTCTATGGCATGGGGCATAGTTTGAGTTGACAGGAGGAGCAGCCGGTTGGTCTTGACTTCGTTGAGGTCCTCTTCCTTCCCCTTGACTGGGCATTGTGGCCAGTGGGTCTGGTCCTGGAATAAGAAGGGTGGCCCCAGACCCCACCGCTGTGGCTGAATAATCTCCAAAAGAGTTTTACCTCGTGTCAAATCATCCGCGGGGTTCAGTGCACTCCCCACATATCTCCAATCCTCAGTGCCGGTCAGCTCCTGTATCTCAGCAATACGTGTACCGACAAAGACTTTGTATCTACAGGAATCAGATTGTATCCATTGCAGCACAGTGGTTGAGTCACTCCAAAGCTGAACTCTCTGAATGGGAAGGTGTATTTCCTTCTGCAACAAGGTAGCGAGTTGAGCACCACTCACTGCTGCACAGAGCTCCAGGCGGGGCATGGAGAGTTGCTTCCGAGGGGCAATCCTGGACCGGGCCATGACAAAGGAGACAGACACCTGGCCAAGATGATCTTCAGATCGAAGGTAAGCTACCGACCCATAAGCCCGCTCAGAAGAGTCACAAAAGACATGAAGCTCTCTTTTAATGCTTGACAGCTCTAGACTAGTCGACTCAAAGCACCGAGGAAAGACAACTTGAGGGAGCAATGCAAGTTCATCATACCAAGAGTTCCATCTATCGGCCAAAGCAGGGTCTACAACAGGATCGTCCCATCCTCTTGGGGAGCTCCACAAGTCTTGCACAAACACCTTGGCCCGGGTGAGAAAGGGAAGAATGTACCCCAAAGGGTCATACTGACTGGCAAGTATGCGATAGACATCTCTCAGAGTTGGACTTGGATTGGCAAAAGAGAGAGCTTTGCATCTGTAACTGAAGACATCAGTACGACAGTTCCATCGCAGACCAAGCGTTGGTTCTTGTGGGTCATTGGTTGTGTGAGAAAGCCACAGGTCACAGGAACTGGAACGAGCGGATTTCGGAAGATTTTCTACTACAGAAGGGTCATTGCTTGCCCATTGTCGGATTTCAAAGCCGCCAGTAAGAAGGAAAGAGCGCAGATCCTCAACAAATCTTTGTGCTGAATCTGCCGAAGGGAAGCTGTGTAGACAGTTATCGACGTAAAATGACTGTTCGACTGCTTTCCGAAGGTTGTTCTCTGGGTCAAGGTGATCTTTGGCATGCCGTTGGAGAGCATAGATCGCACAACATGGGCTACAAGTGGTACCGAACGGTAAGACCTGCCACTCATAGACTGTCGGTTCATCCGGCTTCAGGTCTCTCCACAAAAACCGGAGTAGGGGGGTGTCTTCAGGGAGCAAACGCACCTGGTGAAACATTGCCTTGATGTCTGCTATAACGGCCACTTGATGCTGTCTGAAACGAAGAAGCACACCAAGTAATGATGGTCCAAGGACTGGACCAGGTAAAAGGCAATCATTCAGGTTTTGGCCCTGGTGACTATAAGAGCAGTTAAACACCAGTCTGTGTTTGCCATTGTGCTGGGACACCACATGATGTGGGAGAAACCAGGATTCTGTGCCAAGAGCCGATTTAGTATCTACTTGGGTTACATAGCCTGCTTCAAGCAACATCTCGATTTCTCTTGAGTGTACTTTGGACAACACAGGGTCTTTCCTAAGCCTATGTTCTGCCCTCAGAAGAACCGGAAGGAAGGAAGCCGGGTCTGAGCAAAGAGAGGGAAACTGAGGGTGGCGTAGCAAAGGAGTGACATACCGCAGCTGGCCATCTACCTCCAGTCTTTGTGTCCTAGAGTCCAAAAGTGCAAGAGCATACTGATCTTGTTTTGATCGGGTCACTTCCTTCTCGTTGTGCCGGGGGAACGTATCCAGCTGCCATAACTTCACCACGTTTCTCATCACATCATCTGAGAAAGGGGTAGCAGTGAAAAGGCATTGCATGTCTGGGACTGAAGCAGGGTTGACTGAGGAAGGACCTTGAAGAGCCCATCCAAGTGCAGTATGGACACCAGATGGACTGCCTGAAGGACCAAAATTAATAGGTTCAATAGGGACAATGAGATGATGGTGATCAGACCCAAGAAGGACCGTAGGCTGAACCCCATCAAGAATTGGCAATGGCAAGTCTCTCAAATGTTCATAGCGCTTCTGCAATGCTGCAGTAGGGCAAGAATGCTTCATCAAATTCAAAACATCAGCGGTGAAAGCATTCTTCACTTTATACGTGGTGGACTTGTCATCAATTGGTGAAATGGAAAAGCTTACTCTTGTGCCCTGCACTTGAAGAACATCATGACGCACAGTCTGAAGGTTTAGGGTTTCTGACTGGCCTGAAAGACAGAGTGCTTCTACAGCTGAAGGCAGAATAATGGAACGTTCTGACCCGTCATCCAAGATGGCATAAGACTCAAATTGGAAGTCACCATTATGAAGAACAACAGGAACCACTTTGAGAATGACACGTGCAGAACGATTTGGACGGTCAAGATAAAGGTCAGGATTGGGCATGCTCACCATGAGACACGACTGGCCGGCGGGAGTCAAAGTGTCGTGCAGAATTGTCAAGTGAAGCTGGCTGCACACTCCGCATGGCCTCTTCAGTGTACAAGCCTCCGGAGGGTGAGTTCTACAGCACTTCCAACAGCGTCTGTTTTCACGGATCCAAGAGCGCCTCTCCTCCACCGTCAGCTTGGCAAACTTCTGGCAACCATTGAGAAAGTGTTCATGAGTGTTACAGAAAGGACAATAGGGTTGGAATTTTGCCTTCTTTGGATGCTTCTCCACAGGGTTGAGGGAAACATTCTGCCTCGGAGCCGCCTTTGTCTCGGTTGACAAATACATGGTAGCTGGCCTATCAAACTCCCGTGGTGGAGGTTTGGGATTGGTTCGTACCTCCCTCCTGTCCCACTCAGCAGCAAAAGTTGTGTTGTGAGACAAGCGGCGAGCACGAGCTTTAACCTGCAACCACACAGACAAATCATTCAACGTATAAGTCTGCAAAACACCATCCTGCAAGATACCCCTCTGAATACAATGTTCAACAAAGGAATCACGATAATTAGATGGTAATTTGCTCAGAAGCCTGTCCACATGCGATCCACAGCTTACTTCTGTACCATCCCTTCCTTCTATCGAGATAAGTAGTCCGACCAGAGACTGTACAGCCAGAGCAAACTCTTCGAACGCAGCCACATCATTTGCTTTAACAGACGCAGAGTTGAGAATGCGCGCTATCTCACTCTGTATCAAGTGACGTGGCTGCCCGTATCGTGAAGTCAATGCATGCATGGCTGAGGTGTATGGTGAGGATGATGAATGTGAGCTCTGGCCAGTTGGTAAGCAGGTGGATGCTTGAGTCTCTCAAGTAGGATCTGGTACTTATACTGCTCGGATAAATGAGGGTGGTTCCCGAGTAAGCTGTCAAAGGCCATCTTTAATAACAAAAAGTCACTTTCCTTGCCGGTGTCAAATCGAGGGAGCTGCGGCTTTGGGATGCCGTAGGTCGTTGCTATCAACAGTTCAGTCATATTCGGGGAATAACCAGCATTTACAGGGACTTGTATCGGAGGAGCTGATGGGACAGAATGGGACAGAGATGAAGCTGAGGAAGTGGAGGCCATGTCTGCTTCTGGACTAGGCTGGAGCGGAGCCGGCGGCTGGAGCGGAGCCGGCGGCTGGAGCGGAGCCGGCGGCTGGAGCGGAGCCGGCTGAGGCGCAGGCTGAGGCGCAGGCTGAGGCGCAGGCTGAGGCGCAGGCTGAGGCGCAGGCTGAGGCGCAGGCTGAGGCGCAGGCTGAGGCGCAGGCTGAGGCGCAGGCTGAGGCGCAGGAGGCTGCAGACGGACAGGCTGAGGCGCAGGAGGCTGCAGACGGACAGGCTGAGGCGCAGGAGGCTGCAGACGGACAGGCTGAGGCGCTTCATGCAGACTGAGTCCCGACGCTAACATGGCGCTCTCTGGTCGTAGATTGGTGCTGGACCGAAGCATAGGACTAGGATATTTCAGAAGCTGGGACACCATCCTTGCCTCCTCATAATCTCTCTCTGCCTGGCGTATGCGTCTGGCTCGAGTCAAACTGTTAGATAAATTCTCACGGGCCATGGAAGCTTCTCTGGCCTGTGTATCCATGCGGCGTAGACACTCCTCAGCCTTTTCTTCCTCTTGCTGCTGACGATGGAGTTCATCCAACTCCACGTGTCTGAGCCTCTCCTCCACCTGGGCCAGCTCTGATTGGTCAAGGGATTCTTTTAACGCATCCATTGGTCTCCGACTGCGTTTAGAAAATGTGCTTCCATCAGACAGTGACTCCGCAATATCAGACTGGGAATGTGCGTCATATTGTTTTGGCAACAGACTGACCTCATAGTCTTTGAAATGTGCCGGAATCCTCCTTTGCCTTCCACTGCTCCTCAGGCTTGGGTTCGGAATCCTGGATTTCTGTTTAGGACGAGCTCCTAGTTCATGTAGAGCAGTAGTTGCGCCTCCGGTGTCCACTGTGTGAATCCCATGCTGTGACTGGACGTCATATGAGACTGGCTTCACGGTGGTGCCTTGTGCTGCAGTTGCTCCATGCAGTGAACGGAAGCTGCCTGTGTACTCCATTCCTCCCCCATCTTGGCTATCATGAGTGGGCAGCAGAAGAGAAGGTGCACTTCTTGAGACCTGTATGGCTTTATCCATCTTGGGCATATCCGGCTCGAAGGACCATGTAAAATTGTAATCGAATAAATAGCCGGTGAAAAAAGCCCAAGTGAATAAAAGGTCTCAAGACAGGATCAGTTTAAGGATTTAATATGGCATCAGACATGGTTTTTACACACTGCAACAAAGCAGAAACAAAATGCATATTAACAAAAATTAACAATGAAACTAAAAATGGGAATCAACTGAAACTCACATGACACATGCTGATCCATAGCCTGGATTGAAATGAAAGGGGAAACAATGGGCTTCCAGGACTTAAAATGGCTGCCTAATTGCACCCAGGTGTGTAGGTGTGGGGGGGCGGAGCCAGCAGAGGGGTGTGGTTGAGGGATTTCTCACAAGTTTCAAACAGCTGATTTTTGCAACTGCATCAACCCTGTCTGCTGAAAAGAGATCCGTGCAGGATGACTTCAACCAAGTAAGAAAAAAGGTGAAAGAGTATTTGGATGACAACTTTTTTATCGTGCATTTTTGCGTAGCTGTAGTTATCTAGACACAGCAAATGTATGTGTATAGAGCCAGTTATGAGTGACCAATCAAATAAACTCTATTCTTGTATTACAACTAGGGGTGTGACGATATATCAAAAAATCGATATATCGTCACACCCCTAGTTGATACTTTCTCCCGCGATTCGATTATCGATATGTATTTGCCAAGTATCAATATGGATTTTGAAAAAAAAAAAAATATATGTTTTTTTTTTTAATATTTTTTTTAAAGTTTTTTTTTTTTTGAATTGGTATCAATACTTAAAGGTATATTTGAGGATTTTCCCACATTTTAGGAAAGAATTGCCTCCTTCACTTTTTGAGCAAAACTCTCTGGTCTTATTGGACGAGCACGTATCACCAGAATGATTGACAATTGGGAGGACCAATAATCTTGATGATCCACCCGGAAGTAGAAAATCCTCCTATATACCTTTAATATATGGCTACATTACGCATCTCCATTCTATTTATCATGAAATAAAGAGTATTTTTTCTTTTATTTATGCCATAAATTGGCATATTGTATATTTCTGACCAATATATCAATAATCGTCATATCGTGATAAAATCGTTATCGTAATATCGCTATCGTGATATTATCGTAATCGTGAGCTTTGTATCGTGTATCGTATCGTATCGTGAGGTACCCTTAGGTTCCCACCCCTAATTACAACTAAACTCTGAATAACTGTCTGGTTGGATTTTTATAATATAGACTGTACCTAACTACCTCCCACTGATTTATACAGTATCTATAGTGGAAAATTACCATCATCCAGTTTCTTTTAGATCAATAACATGAAAAATACAAAATATAAAGTTCAATTGACCGTTTTAACCTCTTAAGGATCACCCTCCCTGTACAGGGAGGATTCAGTTATTTTTCATTTAACAGCATCAGTATTAGAATTCACTTGTGTCAATATAGTCAAGCTATATCTCTTTTGAAAGCTTATTCCCACCTCTATACACGTATTATGTTCAAATAAACATTAAATATAACCAAAAGTAAGAATAAGTAGTCAAACTGTATATATGTTTAAAATATATATTGTCGTTTCTTACCTTGTCATGCTAATATTCTGGGGCAAATCACGTCTAATCCACACATGTATGCATTTGTTTTGTTCGTTACGGTCTAGAGAATAATTATATCCAGTTGTTTTTTCTTCAAAGTCATCCTTATAGTAGATATCCACTTGCAACAACATATTTGAGTATTGAAAGTTGCACAAACAAAAACAAAACCTGTTCTTTGCGCACTGTATGAAGAGGACATTTTACTGTTTAGCTAGCGTCACTGGGTATGTTCGTCTTCCTCTCAGTCTTCCCTTCAAAACAAGCCCATTCCCGGACTTTTCAGTGCTATAGTTTGGAAGGTAGAGTAAGTTGAGTAAAACAAGCGCACCTAGATTTAGCGCTCCATTCACATAGATATCTGTGCGTCATGACGGCATTGTCTTGACTACCATTGGCCGATTTGGATGTCAATCAAATCATCTTGTAGCCAATAATCTCAGGTTTCAGGCGATGTGTCGGACTTCTAGCTTCCTCCCACTGTTCCCGTCATATTTGAATGCGTAAAGAGGAAGACGGAGCCTTTTTCACGGAGAACACGCGCTATAACTATATAAATAATAGCTTTTCTGCAAACATTTCAATATCTGGAAAAAATGCTATTTATAGCAAGAGTAATAGCCAAAAAATTATATACATGGATTTTTGGTGTAAAAACATTGATAATTTGCATGTAAAACACTTTTGCACAGTTGGCACAAAAATGGACCACTTGTGCCGAATGTGCCCATTAGTTACAAAAAAGCCCCCAGCATCAAAATAGTTCCACCTAAAGGTCTAAAATTTCATACAGGTGTTTCCAACACCACAAACATCTGCTCTGGTGAGTTTGAACATCATACCATAAAGTATGTCTTCAGAAGAACCTTTTGAAATTGCCTTTTTTGTTTCGAGACAAAAAAAACTAACTTTGACTCATGTTTGAGAAGCTGTAGTGCAGACTGTGTCCTTCCTAACAAACTGTAACATACATTTTCAGAAACTAGTAAGGTGTTACCTTTCAAATGAGGCCTCATAACACAAAATCAGACACAAGATGTCCACACAATAAGCATTTCCATTTGGGTATCATAATTCGAGAAGGAGCAGGCGAAATTAGGTGATCCTTAAAGGGATAAGACCTGACAGAGGGTTTTAATACATATATATGTCCTCATGAAGTGATCGCTAAGCGATCCGTTCAATCTTTTGTCTCTCTCTCCAAACTCCCACTCCTCCCCTCTCTCCCCCTTCTAAACTCTCTCCTCTCCTCACTCCAAACTTTCAGCCCTGTCTAAACTCTCACTCCTCTCCCTTCTGTAACACTCCTCTCTAAACTCCCTCTCCTCTCACCCCTGTCCAAACTATTAGTCCTCTCTCTCACCCCTTCCCAAACTCTTAGTCCTCTCCTCTTGCCCCTCCTTAAACTCTCTGTCCTCTCCTCTCACCCTCCTCTCCTCTCGCCCCTCCCTAAACTCTCAGTCCTCTCCTCTCGCCCCTCCCTAAACTCTCAGTCCTCTCCTCTCGCCCCTCCCTAAACCGCCCCTCCCTAAACTCTCAGTCCTCTCCTCTTGCCCCTCTCCAAACTCTCAGTCCTCTCCTCTCGCCCCTCCCTAAACTCTCAGTCCTCTCCTCTCGCCCCTCTCCAAACTCTTTGTCCTCTCCTCTCACCCCTCTCCAAACTCTCTGTCCTCTCCTCTCACCCCTCTCCAAACTCTCAGTCCTCTCCTCTCACCCCTCTCCAAACTCTCAGTCCTCTCCTTTCACTCTTCTTCAAACTCTCAGTCCTCTCCTCTCACCCCTCTCCAAACTCTCTGTCCTCTCCTCTCGCCCCTCTCCAAACTCTCAGTCCTCTCCTTTCACTCTTCTTCAAACTCTCAGTCCTCTCCTCTCACCCCTCTCCAAACTCTCAGTCCTCTCGTCTCTCCCGTCTCTAAACTTTCAAATCACACAAAAGACACTTGTTTGCCTTGGATCATTATGATGATAGTAACTACAAAAGTCAAAGGTATTTTGTGACAGCCGTGAGTTGAAGTCATAATGACAGTGCAGCACAGAAAGGCTTTGTCTTCAATTGGTCGTTCAGTTCTTTGTGCAAAACTAGATTGAATGAACAGATGACATCAATCCAACAACCATGACATGTTTTTTTGCTGATGCAGGAGTGATGATCAGGGACATTTAGGGACATTTATGGACATTGGTCATACCGCCCCCTATGGGTCAATGTCCCCCATGTGTTGCATTACTTTGTTTAAACGGTTTGATTTTCTGATCTGCTCCTGGCGACTTGAACACTTTCTCAGAGACGCTGTTGTAAAAAAGGACTGTACAAAAAATGATGTCTCGGGATTGATTCGACTTAGAATCTAGAGCAAAATCCTGCCCCAAAAATTTGACTCATGTGCAAACGTTTAAATGAAATGAAAAGTTATATTGTATTGTCCCTGTAGAGAATTTTGTCCTCTACATTTGACCCACCCGGGGACCCATCTCCAGATGTTGTTGCTCGTTGTTTGGCCAGGACTACTGGAGCTGGAGGATTTGGGCCAATTGTGAATTTTTTTTTCGTGGTAGGGGAAACCGGAACACCTGGAGGAAACCTACAAAGACTTGAGATGAACAGGCAAACTGTCTCTCATAACTCACAGACTCTCAGTTCACCAGTTGTGGGACCCCCCTCCCCCCCCCCCTCCCTACTACATCTCTCCCTGCCTCTCTCTCTCTCTCTCTTTCAATCTATGGTGGTCTACCCCCCCACCCACACTCCCCTCTGACACGCCACATTGGACGAGGCTGGTTGGAGTAGCAATGTCCCATCAAAAAGATCTGCATGTTTTTCGCATGTACTGTGTCTCTCCAATAATGCCTGTTTGAAATAAATGTTTTGTTTTGTTCTCTGCTGTAGAATAACAGCAGAGAAGAAAAAACCAAAATAGTGTATGCGGCCAGCCTTAATGTTTAATCATCGAACTGAATTTCTCCATTGTGAGATGATAAAGTATTTGATTGATTGATTGATTGACTCCAATCAGAATGGCCCTGTTCCGACCAGAACTCAAACCCAGAACCTTCTTGTTGAAGTCAGGCACCGTGCCGCCCAACTCATCCAATCAACATATGTACAATTCCACAATCTTGTTACATTACCTGCTTTTTCTGTTGTTTCTATGTTTTATCTATGCATTTCTTGGGTTTGAGCTGTTTTATTCTCTGATCTGTGTTGGCAAATTAAAAGTTTTTGTAAGTCATCTGAGATAATTACTGTTGTGATTTAGGGCTATGAAAGAATGAATTGAATTAAATTGAATTATGTAGATAGTTACATGGTTAAATCCATGCAGGGAACACGTTTAAAGTCATAACGACAGGTCCATTTAAACAATACAGTCTATGATTTAAACACGGAGAGTGGAGACGATCAATACTCCACCAGAAAAGTGCACTGGGAGTTTTGGAAAGTTGTTTGCTTAAGTGACACAAATAATACCAGAGAGTCCATTTGGAGCTATATACATGACCAAGTCCTTCAGCAAAAGTATTTGAAGAACTGAGGATGACGTGAATGTTGCGACTATGTCCAAGAAAGTTTGTTCCCTATACTGATGAGGAATGCAAATCGCACTTCTATACCCACTCCTTGGCTGTGTGCCATTGATTCGCTCCACAAGCTCCAATACTCGGCGATAGAGCACTGAGGGGGCTAAGGGGTAAGACTAATCAAAGCGCCAAATGAAAATTGAGAGGCAATTTAGGGAGCCAATAGACGCAAAGATCCTTTATGGAAGAGGAGCAGTGTGCTGCGGAGAGTGACTGAGCTGCAAAATGTATAGACCGGTGTAGAGGACTAAAAGAGGGGGGAGACAGAAATCAATTGAACACATTAGGACCTTAGACTAAACTACTTCCAATCCCACCTTCTCAATTGCATTGGGCTCCTAATTCATTCACTTGTGTCTTGTCCATTTTAACTCCATCTTTGTATTTGTCTGTGAGATGTGCTGGTTCTAAAGTGAACTGCTGCAGGCCACTAAACCATTAGCGTCTGAGTCCAGCCCCAGAGTGTAGGTCAGTGGCTGGTAAAGTGGTGCAATGATCTTCAATACAGCAGGCTCTGAGACCCTTTACCTCCAGCTGTCAGTGATAGTGTTCCAGCTATGGCTCTACAAATAGAGAGAATGATTATTATTTTGTTATTGGTGGGATCTGTTTCAATGCAATAGAGTAATTCAAGTTTTAAGAAAAATACATCTGAGCTTTGCACTTTCCATCATACTGTAATACAGAAATAAACAGTCAGTACTACTGCATGCACAATACAGATTCTGTAGCACGACCCAACTCATGGGAAATCTGTTCAGAAGAAATTCAAATATGTCTCCTAGTCCTATACACTCACTGAAGCAAGGACAGAAAGTATCTACTTAAAACCTCATGGCTAGAAATCTAGATGTATGGATTGGACACAGAATTTAGTGTTGAAGCCATAAATCATTATTTGTTTCAATATTGAATGTATTGTATTGAGTATCATTACATTATTGTATCTAAAAATGTGTAGATGATCCCTGACCACAGATAACTGGTCTGGACAGTCTCCCTGACCCCCTGGTTACAGATAATATTTTATATGAGCCACATATCAATTTAACACAACAATGATTGGACCAAATTTTAGTGGTAACAAAAGGTAAAAACCAACCAAACAAGAAAAGAAAACACAAAACAGCAGAAATCAACAACCAAATCTGAAGAAGAAATCTGTGTGTTTGCCTGTGCTTGTTAGTGCGGCCCATCGTGCTGAAAACCAGTTTTTGATGTCTCCTTCATGACAACAGTCACTGGGAGATCCCTGAGCAATATAATAACAACAGTTACTTTAGAAGGAGACAAAATGAATTCATAATGTGGTGATACATAACAGACACGTTATGTGACTTTTTATTTATGTTTAATATAACTATAGTATTTACATATTTTAGTTTTGTAATTACTTTTTACTTACAAAACTGAAATATGGAAATACTTTTCTTGTATATTGTTAAATTTTTCAAAGACAATTTGTGTGTAGAGGTGTGAGCACCCTCGTGTGGTCCTATTAGAAATAACCATGGTCACATAGTTGCCTAAGCCTTGAAAGAAATATCTAGATGTTTTTAATTCACACAAAATGTCCAACCCACTCACTGAACAATAATAACAGGTTATTTGATGCATCATGATCATAGGCCTATAACAGTAAGTATAATATTTAATGATAACCAAGGGAGAGACACGTCAGCACACGGCCAGATTAGGGGGAGTGAGTGCAGACGAGAGCTGATGACCAGATGAGCATAAAACTATCTTTAATTTAAAAAAAATTGAGAGCGTTTTCCCCTGGCAACACAATAACATTATAAACTATTTAGGGATGGCCTTGACACTCATCCTCAAAAAATATTGTGGTATACAGTATGTTATTACTGTATATTGTATATTACTGAATAATGACAGGTGATGCGTCTTTGAAAAAAAAAAAAGTGCTATATAAAACCAATGCATTATTATCTGCTCTGCTAAAGGAGAGCTCTAAACAAGGTGGGCTACTGGAGGCACTTCATGAGGCCAGACTTATAAATCAAGCTGTGTAAATGATCAATGATCCTTCAGGCCCCTGGGAAAGCCATGTTCCAGCTTCTTCTTCGCTCTGAGAGAAGATATTGTTCTTCAATGCAGGACATCTCACCAAGCAAATAGTTTTTGACCTGTTTCCTGTTTTTAAATCTCATCTAATTTTAATTCCCTGTATCGCTTTTATGTGTTGGTTTTAAAATTTTCTTTCACAGTAACAAGTATTGTGATTTTCTGTCTTTAATTAATGTTCTCTATCGTGCACACAGGGTACTTTTGCATGAATATTCCAATGAAGTTTTTATCCGAAAATTATGAATAAACTGCTTCTAAATCTGAATCTGAATCTGGATTCTTTTGACAACCCTAATGTGGTTCAGTAGCAGAAAATACAGACTTTTTAATGAGCCTGATTCACTATAAACAGTTCAATTGATGACTGGGGGTGTTGGCTTTGAAGCTTACATACAACATCTAGCCATGAAAGAAAATCCCATTGTATCCAGCGCTCTTTGCTTTTATATGCAGCCATGTGCACATACTCTCCACCAAAGCCCCGGATCCACTAAGCCCTGAGCTCCTGGACCGAGCGGAGCTGCCTCTCCTCCAGTCCAGAGCCCATTAGCTGAGGCAGGCTCCATCACCCCGCTCAGCCATGCATGAGATAGACCTGTGTAATACCGAGTGTCTGCAGCTCCAGCAGCCACGCCGCCGCCGTGCAAACATGACAGGCGCTAATTGGAGAGGCCCTCGACACGGGACACGCTCCGGGGGATTGGGGGCTCAGGATAGAGGAGAGTATGAGGAGAATGGGGAGAAAAAGACATGATGGTTTTCCCATAGATTATGATTCATGCTTTGTAGTAAAATAGTTAAAGTTAGGTAAAGAAAGAAAGTGGTTATAGTTTGAATATTTTTGGTTTAATTATTGCTTCTTTATAATGCTAAAGTTGGACATTTTATATGTTCTTTCTTATGCTTAAGCTAGAGGTTGTATACTTGCTTGTTTATTATGCTAAAGCTATTTATCTTGTGTTGTGTGCTCCTCAACCTTCTGTAACCGGTGATGCAACCCTGAAATGTCCCCTTCTTTTGGACTAATAAAGGATGTCTTACTCTTAATAACACTTATAGCTTATTATAAATGTTAGAGTTGCATTGTGTCAAAACAATTGAAGATCGAAATATCAATTTTTTTTGTTGATTGTGATGATCAAGATCTGAAATAAAAATCTAATTGAAAGACACCCATCCTGTGGCACTAAAAGTGAGAGGGAGAAGTCCCACTCATGGTCAGACAGCGTGAGTTTTGACCTCACTCAGG